CTTCTTCTTCTTCTTCTTCTTCTTCTTCTTCTTCTTCTTCTTCTTCTTCTTCTTCTTCTTCTTCTTCTTCTTCTTCTTCTTCTTCTTCTTCTTCAATTTCCTGAAGGGTAGAACATATTCTTACAAGACAAAGTCTTTCCAAATAACGATCGTTATTTGTTCGCCCATTATTTGGAAAGACTTTGTCCTGTAAGAATATGTTCTACCCTTCAGGAAATTGATGAATTGTAATGGATTTAACCATGCAATGAGAAGAGACAACGGCTGAGATTTTGATGTTTGGAAGACGTTCTTCTTACGAAACGGAAGTTTTAACTCCAGAGAATTTCGTCCATCTGGAATTACATAAAAGATTGCATTAGGTGCTTTGAATCTGTGAATTTCCGTAGTTTTGTAAGATTGCAAGCGCTTTTTGCATTATCTACAGCTTATTTGTTACTCATTATTTGTCGCTGGCCTTTGCAACCCGGGCAGCCGCGGCTCTGTTCTCATCCCCCGCCTTCCCATCTTTGCCTTATAGGAGTTCCTCAGCCGGGTCCAGGAAGTCCTGAACTCCACAGAAATCAACCTGCAGCACTTGACCGCCCTGGTGGACTGCCGGAGCCTGCATCTGGTGAGTGCCGCAGACACGTCGGAACCGCTGGGTTCGAGCCCAGAGACCAGTGACATTTTCAGGATGTGAGCTTTCAAGAGGCAAAGCTCCCTTTGTCTGATACGGATGCGCCGGAGCACTGGCGGCCGTGTCACCCCCCGGGAGAGGATTACGCTCTTCACAGGACAGCTTGCTGGCGGTCCCCAGCCCTAGAGCTATCCGAGGCTGCCCTCGACTAGAACCAGGGACTTTTTGGTCCTGGCCCCGAGCTGGTGGGACATCAGGGCCCTGCGGGACCTTACGCAATTCCGCCGGGCCTGTAAGTCAGAGATGTTCTGCCAGGGTTTCGGTTGAGGACAGGGATGGTTTACATCATGGCGGACACCCTACCTGGATCCCTCATACCTCGTGGCGTTCACTCCCCCTCCCCTCGTGCCTACGAAGCAATCGCAGACCAGATATGGGAAGGAATTGCAAAATCCCCCCCCCGCTCCCTTTTAATTACTGTAGGATACGTTGGATGTGGTTTAATGTTTTTATTGTTTTAAACTTTGTACCTTGCCGAGAGCCCCACAATTGTGGGGATCGCGTGATTAGTAGATGTAATGTAGTAAACAAGTAAACCAATATGTTGTCGAAGGCTTTCGCGGCCGGAGTTCATTCGTTGCTGTAGGTTTTCCGGGTTGTCTGGCCGTGGTCTTGGCACTGTAGGACCTGACGTTTTTCCAGCAGCTGTGACTGGCATCCTGGGAGGTATAACACAGAAAGATGGAGTACTCTCTGTGTCAGGGTGAGAAGAAAATGGTAGGCAGGTAATTTATATCTACTCCGGAAGGTGGGGTAGGGCTGAGTCATTGTCTTGTCGGAGTTCCCCCGGCTGTGGACATGCGAATGGAGGAGCTTTCCTGAGGAGGTTCTTTTGTTTCCTGAGGAGGTTTCCTGCTTCCTGAGGAGGCTGTTGAAATTCTAATCTTATCTGTAGTGCTATTGTCTGATGTAGAGCCTTTTGTGTTTTTTTGTGTTTTGTGAACTCCTACAAGACAATGAGTTGCGGTGGCTCAAGTGGTTAAGACGCTGAACTGCAGGCTGTGGAAGGTCAGTAGTTCAGCGGTTCGAGACCTGAGTGTGCCGCATGATGGAGTGAGCTCCCGTCTCTAGTTCCAGCTCCTGCCAACCTAGCAGTTCGAAAGCAAGAAATTGAAAGTAGATAAATAGGTACCACTTCGGTGGGAAGGGAACAGCGTTCTGTGCGCCTTGGTGTTTAGTCATGCCGGCCACATTTTTTTTTAAAACACAAAATTTAATCATGCCGGCCACATGACCACGGAAACGTCTTCGGACAGCGCTGGCTCTTCGGCTTGGAAACAGAGATGAGCACCGCAACCCTAAAGTCGAATTCTACTGGCTTTCGAGCAAGGGAACCTTTACCTTTACAGGACAATGACTCAGCCCTACCCACCTTCTGGAGTAGATATAAATTATCTGCCTTCCATTTTCTTCTCACCTTGACACAGAGAGTGCTCCATCTTTCTGTGTTTATACCTCTGAGGATGCCAGTCACCATTCCTGGCGAAACATCAGGTCCTACAATGCCAAGACCACGGCCACACAGCCCGGAAAACCTACAGCAACTAAATAAGTAAAACCAATAAACCAGCGTGATGGTGAGAGGGTTGCAATATCCAGTGTCCAGCGCAAGGAGGCTTTGCTGGCAATTGCGGCTCTGACTTTTGGGGAAACTGGCGGTGGGTGGGTTCTGTTCAGGCTTGTTTGCCTAGTAGGGCAAAGGAACCGAGAATAGCTTGTACAAAGCGTGAAGGTGTTTAAATGCCCCGCGTGCCCTGTGGCATCTTATGAACTGAGGCCCTCTGTCCCTTTGACGTCAGAGTGAAGGCCGAATGTCCACTTTTGCGAGTGCTCCGTCCTGCCTTTTCTGGCCTCGGGGTTTGCTTGGTAGCGACTGGCATTTCATTCCCAAGAGCCAGCGTGGCGTAGCGGTTAAAAGCGCTGGCCTAGGATCTGGGAGACCCGAGGTTCGAACCCACCACTGTGACCTCTCTCCCCTTAGGATTACGTCCAGGCGCTGACGGGCTTCTGCTACGATGGCGTGGAAGGCCTGATCTACCTGGTGCTCTTTTCCTTTGTCACGGCCCTGATGTTCAGCTCCATCGTCTGCAGCGTCCCCCACACGTGGCAGCAGAAAAGGTAGGTACCGGAAGGCAGAGATCCTGCACTTTGGGCCCGCGGCGTGCACCACCAAAGACCTGAAATGTCTGGAAATGTCAATGCTATGGAGGGGGGGGGGGGTATCAGGCCAGTCCGATTTCGTCAGATCTCGGAAGCTAAGCAGGGTCGGCCTTGGTCAGTATTTGGGTGGGAGACCACCACGGAATACCAGGGTCGTGACGCAGAGGCGGGCAATGGCAAACCCACCTCTGAACATCTCTTGTCTCGAAAAAACCTTATGGGGCCACTGTAAGTTGGCTGCGGCTTGGTGGCGCTCTCCACCACCACATTGTGTCAGGATCAACAGCAAGCAAGGTAAACACACTCTTCAGGAAAAGTTATGTTTTATTGGAATACTGGTCTGTTGCCAAGTGCTACAGGTACATTGTTAGGAATAACGATTAGTGCAAGGGACTCGCTACATATACTCTGATGCTTCAACTAGCTAAGCCAATGAACTTCAAGCACTCGCGCGGGAATTCTCCAGAGGAACTGGTTGGCCACTGTGTGAGACGGGATGCTGGACTAGATGAACCCCTGGTCTGATCCAGCAGGGCTCTTCTGATGTTCTTATCAGGGGAAGGTCTCGGCCTCTCTGCCCTGTTGTTGGCCAGTGTGTGAGACAGGATGCTGGACTGGATGGACCCTCACTGGTCTGATCCAGTAGGGCTCTTCTTACATTCTTAGGGGAAGGCCTCGGCCTCTCTGCCCTGCTGTTGGGCCCTCCAGAGGAACTGGCTGGCCCCTGTGTGAGACAAGATGCTGGACTAGATGGACCATTGATCTAAGGCAGCAGGGCTCTTCTGATGCTCTTATGTCCCCAGTACATTCAGGAATGCTATGAATTATCTGGCGTTTTTTTTTAAAAAGGGTCATGCTATGTTATTTTGAGTGAGTCAGACTCCCTCCAAGCATTTCAATCCTTTCAGAAGAGAAAATATTTTTTAAGAACTCCACAAAACATCCCGGTTGTTTTCCTGCTGGGAAAATGGGGGCAGTTCCTGAGGGAGGGGAATTGATTTTCAGTGTTTCCAGTGGGGAAAAATGAAACTTTTATTGTGGTCTTAAAACAAAAAAGAAATATTTTCTCCTTTGATATGAGTGAAAAGCTTTGAAGGCAAGAACCAGGGGAAAGTTCTTCTCCGAGTTTTTGCGTTTCCCCCTGCTTTGCGTCTCCATCTCTATCTCCAGAGACAGAGGCCACAGAGGAAGGCGAAAGATCACTCACTGTACCTGATGTTCAGCAGATTTCCTTTCTGAGGCGGGTAGTCACTTAAGATCCTGGGCACGCCCCAAACCCTGCCTTGGTCAGCTAGTTCCACGCAACCATGACCATCTGGGACGCCCTGCCAACACAATGCCCGTACAGTTGGTGGAGATCCCCCTTGCCAGCCACCCTGTTTTGCCAGCTGCAGGGCACTCTCAGAGAGAGGTCTTGGAACAGACAGGAAGAAGATACATTTGGAAAGATGCCTTGTGCAGCCACAAGGCTACCAGCTCATGCTCAGTTGCTGACCTGTCCTTCCTGCTGGAAAAGTTCGGTGCCCTCTTGTGGCAGGTTCTGTGAACGGCGTGGGATCTTAAGTGGCCCTATGTGTAGGCGGGGGTGGGGTGGGGTGGGGTGGAATATGTTTTTCAGTCCCACTGAGTTCAGCAGAAGAGTTGATACGTATACCAGTTATAGCACTTATACACATTAATGCTTCATGGCAAGTGGGAGGAGGCGTGGGAGACTTTGGCCATATTCTTCCCTGGCATATGAACACATACGAAGCCGCCTTACACCAAATCAGAACCTTCGTCCACCAAGATCACTCTTGGCTACTCAGACTGGTGCCGGCTCTCCAGGGTCTCAGGCACAGAGGTCTCTCCCATCACCAACTGCCTGGTCCTTTTTAACCGGAGATGCCTGGGACTGAACCTGGGACCTTCTGCATGCAAAGCAGAGGTCCTTCCACTCAGCCAGGGTCTCAGGCACAGAGGTCATTCCCATCACCTACCACCTGGTCCTTTTACCTGGAGATGCCAGGGATTGAACCTGGGACCTTCTGCGTGCCAAGCAGAGGCTCTGCCACTGAGCCACGGCCCCTCTTTAGAGCTCTCCAGGGTCTCAGGCTGAGGTCTTTCACATCACCTCCTGCCTGGTCCCTTTAACTGGAGATGTCAGGGATTGAACCTGGGACCTTCTGCATGCCAAGCAGAGGCTCTTCCACTGAGCCAGGGTCTCAGGCACAGAGGTCTCTCCCATCACCTACCACCTGGTCCTTTTACCTGGAGATGCCAGGGATTGAACCTGGGACCTTCTGCGTGCCAAGCAGAGGCTCTTCCACTGAGCCAGAGTCTCGAGCACAGAGGTCTTTCCCATCACCAACTGCCTGGTCCTTTTAACTGGCGATGTTGGGGACTGAACCTGGGACCTTCTGCATGCCAAGCAGAGGCTCTTCCGCTGACCCACAGGCCCTATCAAGATCACTTCTGCCTGTTAGCAGTTCTCTGGGGTCTCAGGAGGAGATCTTTCACGTCCCCTAGTGCCTGGTCTTATTAACTGGAGATGCCGGGGACTGAACCTCGGACCTTCTGCGTTCCAAGCACAGATGCTCTACCACTGAGCCACAGCCCCTCTTCACAGCTCTCCGGTGTCTCAGGCGGAGGTCTTTCCCATCACCTGCTGCCTGGTCCTTTTAACTGGAGGTGCCGGGGATTGAACCTGGGACCTTCTGCATGCCAAGCAGATGTTCTGCCACTGAGCCACAGCCCCTCTTCACAGCTCTCCGGGGTCTCAGGCAGCGGTCTTTAACATCACCCGCTGCCTGGTCCTTTTAACTGGAGGTGCCGGGGATTGAACCTGGGACCTCCTGCGTTCCAAGCACAGATGCTCTACCACTGAGCCACAGCCCCTCCCCCTTGTGTCTGCTCTTGGCCTCTGCACCAGTTTGGTGTTGTTTGAACATGTATTCCTGAGTTGTGCAGGTTTGGGGTTACGTTTCGATCCGGAGCATTTTACAAGGTGGGGTTCAGGGCTGCCCATTGAGTCTCTGGTATCCGGGGGGGGGGGGGGGGGAAAATTCTCCTCCTGGTTTTTTTTATTTATTTATTTATTTATTTATTTTATTGACATTATTTATAATCTGCCTTTCTCACTTAGGCTCCAGGCAGATTACACAGAATGAGTCAAAATAATCGACAGGGTAGGGCGGTTCAGTAAACGATCCAATAGGATTGGGGTTGCAGGACAAGTCAGAAATCTAAAAACAGAAGCGGAGCGTAAGTATTCGCATGACACGGGCAGTGATGCAGAAATTACATGGTAGGGTCCTAGTATCAGCAAGCTAAACACCGTAGTCTAGACCACAGTCCCTAACAATTTATCCGGGGAGCTCTGTGAATCGTGTGGCGTGCCGTGCAATTTTGCTGCCTGCGTAGAAAAGCCCTCTTGAATAATTCAGTTTTGCACAGCAGTCACGTTTCTCTGCCATCTGACTTCTGGACATTAAAGGGAAATGGTACTTAACTGTCGCCTGGGGCTGCCCTCTGTAGACCTACCCGCATTAGTGGCCTGAATCCAGTCAGACTCCCGCGGTGCAGGCCCGTAGCTACAGCAGGGCGTCTCGGGGCTAGGACCCCGGACTTACTGGCAAGGCCCCCTGACTTCTCATCCGGCCCAGGGCCCCCGAGCAGTGGTGGATGCGGGGAAGGAGCCGGGTATTCCTTTAATTTCATCAGCCGGCGCCCCCTAAGAAATTTAAACCTGCACAACTCCTGGCTACGGGCCTGCCTCGGTGGTCGTGATTCACTGTGGGAGCACAGTCTCTACTACTTCTCTGCGGTCGTAGCAGCCCTTGCTACTCCTTGGCTGATCCTGCATTGGCTTTTCCCTCCGTTGTTTACGAGACCCACATCGGAACAGAAATCCCCCTCTGCATTGCACGCCGCTTTCGCTGCCTTTGATCATCGGGTTTTATGGTAGCCTCCACAGTCCGTGCCGCTTTTCCTTTCTTTGAGCAGTGGATTTTATGGTAGCCTCCACACGCTGTGCTGCTTTCACCTCCTTTGATCGTCAGATTTTATAGTAGCCTCCACACGCTGTGCTGCTTTCACTTCATTTGACCGTCAGATTTTATGGTAGCCTCCACACTCTGTGCCGCTTTTGCTTCCTTTGACCGGATTTTATTGTAGCCACCACACTCCATGTCACTTTCACTTCCTTTGATAATCGGATTTTATGGTAGCCTCCACACTCCATGCCACTTTCACTTCCTTTGATCAGTGGATTTTATGGTGCCTTCTGCATAGATTGCTCCACACTCCATGCCACTTTCACTTCCTTTGATCAGTGGATTTTATGGTAGTCTCCACACGCTGTGCCGCTTTCGCTTTCTTTTATCAGATTTTATGGTAGCCTCCACACTCTGTGCTGCTTTCACTTCCTTTGATCATCGGATTTTATGGTACCTTCTGCATAGATTTATGGCCGTTCAGGGGTGACTTTGCAGTCAGTACGGCCCGAGCCGTACGTTTGCGGAGGAGGCCGAGCAGAGAGGGAAGCCCACACGCCCGGCTGGCCCGTCTTCGGAGGAGCCCTCGAAGCGCCCCGAGATAAACTTTCCATTCACGAGCACCCCCCTCTTCCCTCGCAGGGCTTCGGAGGACGACGGAGAGGAGGAGTCGACGGCTCAAGGAAACCGGCAAACCCACGACAACCTGTACCGGGTGCACATGCCCAGCCTGTACAGCTGCGGGAGCAGCTACGGCAGCGAGACCAGCATCCCGGCCGCGGCGCACACGGTCAGCAACGCGCCCGTCACGGAGTACATGTGAGTAGGCGGCGCTCGGGGGCAGGGCGCACGCGTTGCGGGCCTCTCCGACCGAAAGGGCCCCTGGGAGCAGGGCAGGAAAAGCAGAGAGGAGTCGAAGGCCGGGGGTCGAGCTAGGTTCATTTTTCCTTCCCTCCTTTGCGCCTTCCTCCTTCCCAGAATGCAAGTGCTGTAGTCTTTCCATCTCAAGCAGTTGACACCAATGTTCCCTCTAAATTGTGGGAGTCCTGTGAGCAAAACTTCTGCTTTGTGAGCTAATGGCCATTCAAGTTGTGAGCAAGCGATTCGGCTGCTGCATAAATGAGTTTACTCTGGAGCCATCCTTTCTGTGCTAAGTCAAAAATGTGTGAGCCAGAGGCTAAAAAACTGAAAGCTAGCTCGCACTGACTCAGCTTAGAGGGAACACTGCACCAAAGGCTGACGAAGCAGGGTCTTAAGATCTTGAGCCGGGAAATCTGCTTCCACCCCTCTCCTTCATTTTAAAAATGATTTTGTTGACATCTAGCCTGCCAAAGAAGAGAAGAGATTGGATTTATACCCCGCCCTTCACTCAGAGTCTCAGAGTGGCTTACGAACTCCTTTCCCTTCCCCTCCCCACAACAGGTAGGTGGGGCTGTGAGGTAGGTGGGGCTGAGAGAGCTCTGAGAGAAACTGCTCTTTTTCAAGAACAGCTCTGACAGAACTATGGCTTGCGAGTGGAGGAGTGGGGGAATCAAACCCAGTTCTCCCAGATTAGAGTCCGTGCACTCAACCACGACACCAAACTGGCTCACAAAGAGTGTGGCCCAGCTCAAAAGCTCGCGTGATGTTTTATAGATCCAATTGGCCAGCCTTGTTTGGTCTGAAGCAGTACAACAAATTTAGAGTCCGGCGGCACCTTTAAGACCAACAAAGGTTTATTCAAGGTATAAGCTTCCGTGTGCACACACACTTTATTGACAACTTTATTCGATAAAGTGTGCGTGCGCACGAAAGCGCATACCTTGAATAAACCTTTGTTGGTCTTAAAGGTGCCCCCGGACTCTAAATCGGTTACGATGTTTTACGTCCTTTTTGGCTGCCCCGCTCTGGGTAACCCAGGGTAGCCCGATCTCAGCAAACCTCGGAAGCTAAGCGGGGTCGGTCCTGATTAGTGCTTGGATGGGGGACCGCCGAGGAAGACGAGGGTTTCTGCTGGGCAAGGGCAAACCACCTCTGCTCTTCTCTTCTCTTGTAAGCCCTCCATCAGCTGTGACTTGAAGGGACTTTCGGCTGTTCTCAGCCCGCCCCCCCCCCCCCCCCCAAAACACTCCCCGCGCGCAGGAAGAAACATGAGCTATTTCTGGGCAGGAAGGCACAGGAACGGAGTTCCGGCTGGCTCCCGAGTTGGCCACGCCCAGCAGGAACTCATTAGCATAATAGGCCACACCCAACAGCAGGAACTCATTAGGATTGGCTACATTAGGGGTGTGTGGCCTAACATGCAAAGGAGTTCCTGCTACAAAAAAAGGCCCTGGGTTTTGACAACAGACAAGGTAAACAGAATAAGAAGGGAAAGGTGGGTGTGGCTGGATGACCCCACTTCTGGTAACATGGGGGTGCGGCCTAATATGCTAATGAGTGGTGCCGTCATGGGTGTGGCCTAATAGGCTAATGAGTTTCTGCTGTTGGGTGGGGCCTGTTATGCTAATGAGTTCCTGCTGGGCTTTTTCTACGAAACCCCCCCTGTTGCCAGCCATATCAGGGCGATGTGGACCAGTGATCCAACTCAAGGCAGATAGCAAAGGCAGCTTCATGTGTTCCCGTTTGCTTCTCCGTATGCCCTCCGAATGGCTCCCGGTAGTTGGTTTCCGCACAATATGTGTCTTAGCAGATGCGACACAGCCGGCTCGTTGGCTTTTTGGAGGGTGGGTGGGATTACCTGGCTTGTTTGAATGCATCCTGAAAGTATTGAAAGAGCGTAAACTGGTTATGTGCGTGGCCGAATGGGGAAAGATCCCTCAGGGTGAGAGGTGGTCGTGGGTTCTGCCCGGACCTGGCGAGCCCAGGCTAGACCAATCTCGCCAGATCTCGGAAGCTAAGCAGGGTCGGTCTTGGTTAGTCCTTGGATGGGAGACCACTGAGAAAAGTCCAGGGTCACTTCGCAGAGGCAAGCAGTGGCAAACCACCTCTGTGCGTCCCTTGCCTTGAGAACCCTACTTGAGAGCGCTTTTCACCACCGGCACCTCTTAGACCCTCTCTGCTAACAAGCCGTTGGTATCATGTGCCTGTTTGTATCTTCAGGTTCCATCTGATTTGGGGGGGGGGGCTTTCCTGCTTGAATGGGCCAATCGTTTGGTTCTTCTGCGTTTCTCAAGTGGCTTTATTAATTTCGATAGCAGGCAAGGACTCCGGGTCGCCTTCCACGCTGAAAGGTGGGGGGCACTGTTCCCTCTAAGCCGAGTTAACGTGAGCTAGCTCACAGTTTTTTAGCCTCCGGCTCACACATTCTTGTCTTAGCTCAGGGAGGATGGCTCCAGAGCAAACTGATTTTCGCAGTAGCCAAATCGCCAGCTCACAACTTTAATGCCGGTAGCTCACAAAGTAGAATTTTTGCTCACAAGACTCCACAGAGGGAGCATTGGTGGGGGGACTCCTGTCCCCCTGACCTGGATTGCCCAGGCGAGCCCGATCTCGTCAGATCTTGGAAGCTAAGCAGGGTCGACTCTTGGCAAGCACTCAGGTGGGAGACCTCCAAGGAATACCAGAGTTGGGAGGACGGGGCAAGCTTCGTTCAGCCACATCTCTGAATATCCTCCAGGCTCCCAAATAGAGGTCAGTCACCAGAGGTCGCCGTGACTTCCAGGGGCAGACACACACATGAAAAATACAACACACAAACCCCAAAAAAGGGTGGGGGTCACCTGAAGAAGAACTTGGGGATTGAGATTTTGGGCGATGGGCAGGGTCGGGCGGGAACGATTCTTTAAGACGCCGCAGTCCCCGGGTTCTCCAGTTGCACACCAAACTCTTCTCAGAGGCCTCCCCACATAGGACGCACGGCCGGGACATGCCCAGAGGTCTGGCCAAGCATGGGTAACTGTGCCGAGTCCGTCTCTTTCCAGAAGGGAAAGCAGCTGATGCGCCAACCAAAACATGGCCTGGCAGTCTATGCAAAGGACACTGCTTGCGCATCCACAAGCAGAGCAGGTCTTTGAGCCACGAATCGGATCTGAAAGCAGGGCCATCCGTCACAGGTTGACCGCTGCCTCCAAAGCCTGCCGGAACCTCTTGGCTGGCTTCCGCTTCTGGGTCTCTCGGTCCCTGTGTGGCCCGTAACTGATTCAAAGCACCTGCTGAGCAGAGCCGCGGTTGGATCACATGAGAAACTGAGCACTGTTGGCGGTGCATTGCCCCAAATCGCCGACTGACCTCTCCCAGTGCCTTCATTTTTGTGTTTAAACACCGTGGATTCTACCAAGCAAAAAAAGGAAAGTGAGTTGCATTCTTGGGACCGCGCAGGACCATCTCAGTGTCATTTGGGGGCAGGCTAATTTTATGTGATTACTCATCTTTCGACGCTTATCTAACACCCATCCTGTGGGAGGGGCAGTACAGAATTCCTTGTGCCGGGCATCCTTATCGGTAAGATTCTGAGACCGTTACCATTTTGCCAGTGAATGCACGTTAACAATTCTGTGATTCTTCCAAAATCGTTGCTGTCTTTACAACAAAAGTGTCGTTTCACACTTGTTTTTTTCCTCTCTCTCTCTCTCCACCCCAGGAGCCAAAATGCAAATTTCCAGAATCCTCGCTGTGAGAACACCCCACTGATTGGCCGAGAGTCCCCACCTCCCTCTGTAAGTCTGTGTTCACTGTTTCAGAGGGGTCAGGCAGATATTTGCAGAAACGTCTAAGTTAGCTCCTAGCCAGCCAAAAGCAGGATCTACTCCACATGCATTTTCTGGTCACGTGTCCAGGGTACCTTTTCCAGAATGAAAGTAAATGCATATGACTTCATAGCTCTGCACAAGTTCCACTTTCCATCCATTAGCAGTTTTCTGAAAATGATGTGCGCACCATTCGCCCCTATGCAGGTTTGCAAGGTCTGCCTCTTGAGTTCGCAGAGCGTGCTCTGTTTGGGCACAAACACCGAATCCTTCTCCAAAATCAGCCTTGCGGTTGCATTCTTTCAGGGGAGAGGTCCTTCTTGTGTTTTGATATTTGTACTTTTAAATTTCTTGGGGTGTTTCTCCCCCTCCCCCCAATTCTGTCTAGTAGAAAATGTCTTTCGTGGAAGGTTTTGCCAGGCCCACAAACCGCTTCAGGCTCAGGTTTTGTTTCATTTACTGCCAGTCTCTTTGGTTGCAGTCTTATGCTAACACTGCCTTGTAATAGGGGCCCCTCCTTGGCGGTGAGCAGGTGGTACTTTACGGGGCCTTTCTAAATACCCTGCTAAGCCCGTTGACTTCAACGGACTGAGAAGGGGGTAATGTTGCTGAGGACTTCAGGTCTTAAGTACCCAGCTGGGAAACTGTTGAAGGCCGCCCTGACCATCGAATAAGGCAGGATGTGCATTTTCAATATATAAAAAAGAGGTACTCTTACGATCATTGGATAGGGTTGCAGCCTTGAGAATGACAGGAGTACTCCGTCCATGAATGTTAGCTGCATAATGTGTCTTTTGTCTGCTATAGAAAGACCCATCGAGGGGTTTTATAGCCAGTGTGGCGCAGGTCCGTAGCTACGGTGGGGCCCCTCGGGGCCGAGCCCCCTATTTCCAAGGCCCCTCGACCAGCCCTGACTTCCCATCTGGTCGGTGTAATTTCTTTCTGTATTGATAACTTCCATGCCGCCCGCCCACCTTCTCTTGACTGCTGATCGCCCTGCCGATGCCCACTCGCCACTCACGCTGGAGTCTTGCTTCCCTGACACCGTTTGTCCCTTCCTGTGCAACGCTCCCTCCACCTCCTCTCGCTCGCGGGGGGAGTGCCCACCCTCCCCTTTCAGTCTGGAGAGGAGTAGAAGTGCCTGCCTTCCGGTGGAAGCAAAAACGGCCGCTAAAGGTGGTGGGGCTGGCGGTGGCTGCCCTCATCTTCCTCCCCAGCATGGAGCTCTGGTCCCTTTACCAGAACAGGGGGAGTGAGAAAGGAGGCGGTGGAGCAGGAGGTGGCGGCGCAGGGGGAGCCCGTGGAATGGTGGCAGTGGCAGCAACTGCTGTGGTGGCAGCAACTGCCGTGGTGGCAGCGCAGGTTAGGAGCGGCTGACCTCCCCTCCTCCTTTTTCAGCTCAAGAAAATATGACGCCATTCTTTCCCCTCTTCGCTCTGACTCTGAGGGGCAGCCTCAGCGCTGGGCTGCTTTGAACCCCCCCCCCCTTTCCTCCGGCACCTTTGACGCTCGCCTGGGGTTGCAAGGCTGGGGGACGAACAAAAGGAAGGGACTAGAAACAGGCTCGGAGCCAGGTGGTTTAATTCACTTTAAGTGCTCCCTTAAAGATTAAAATCCCCCCCAAAAAAAGAAAATCCTGGCTACGGGCCTGGTGTGGCGGAGTGCTTAACTAGGATTTGAGAGACCTGGGTTCAAATCCCCACTTTGCCACAGAAGCACTGTAAGCCGCTTTTGGTCCCTGTTTGGGGCTGGGGGGATCAGGATGCATATATCTAAATAAATGGAGGATAACACCACCCTATGAAACTAAGGAAAAGGATATTAACCTACTCAGGCTGGAAATATAGCTACAGTTTGTAGAAGAGATGGCTCTGGAGACGTTTCCGCCATTCAGGCTTGGGCAGTGTAGGAAGCAGCTATCTGTGATACGGCGCGTGTAGGAAGCAGCCGTCGGTGATATGCGGATGCGAGATTAGCAGGATTCATGTGAATCAAGTCCCCGTTCCGAGTCATGCAGCCCAATGGTCCTGTCTGGCTCATGCTTGACTACGGTGCACCGAAGCGGCACGGTTTAGGCCCATCTCTTGCCGCTCCTCTTCCTGTTAGCTTCGAGGGACTTTCCTCAAGTCATATAGAAACCGGAAGCAGCCCATCCCGGGGGGGGGGGGCAGTTCACGTTTGCACCCTTTTCCGAGTTGTGTTCCTTCCTGTGCTCAGGCCACCGTTGAGAGGTAAGAGCTCATCAGTTGGGAGGCGCCCAAGCAGACCGGACTTGTCCCTTTGGGGCTCGGCTGATACCGTGGGAACCAAGGCACCATCTGACCTGGAGTCGTCTGCTTCATTGTCTGTGTCTCTCTTTCTTTTTGTTCCCCACCCGGTCATCCCCCTCCCCCGTTTCCTTCTCTCTGCTCCCGAGTCCCGTTCCTCTAGGGTGGTAGAGCCTTCTCCCGTCATCGGCATCCACGCCCCACAGCGTTGTCACTTGCTTGCACTGTGTGTTTTTTCATGCACGTTGAGGCTGCACTCTTCTCTTTTTTCTCTCTCTCTCTCTCTCCTCTCTCTCTCTTTCTCTCTCTCCTCCGGCCTCACCGCAGTTGTATTTGGCTGCCATGGACAGTAGCAGCCACACGAGCTGGCAGTTTAAGCCCTCGGACAGTGCTCGGACGTACTGGTAACAGCGCCCGCAAAGTCAAAACAGGTACTGAACTAAAAGGTCCTTCTGGCTGAACCCCCCCTCCCGACCTCACCGACCTCTGCCATCCCTGCACTTAACGTCTTCCCCGGGCCAGTGCCCAAAGGCTTTCACGTCCCTTCTCCCCCGCACTCTCCGACCTCCACCCCCCCACCCCCTTCCCGCCCGGGGCTGACGCTAGCTATCCTGGCTTGCCCTGGCATTCCCAGCGATGGAGCAACGTCGGCATTGTTTCCTTGGCAACGCTTCCCGTGGTCCTCCCGGCAGCTAAAAGACTGAACAGCGTAGCGGTGGGTTTGTGACCGAGCGGGGACTCCTCTCCTTTACTTAAGAGCACCCTCGAACTCAGATGCTACCAAGATTATCTGCAGTGGGACGGAGCGGACTTGTCAGGGTTTTTTTTCCTCAAAGGCAGGAACTCGTCTAGCTGAGGAGCAGGTCGCCCAGCGTTCTTTGTCCTCCTTTGGATTCTTGGCCGGTTCCTCCTGCTTTTTGTCCCAGCCTGTGCTGCAGAACAGCTGTGGGCTGGTGATGGTGGCTGAGATTGTTGCCTCTCCGTAAAGAGAAGTCTCCTCAAAGCAGGCCTTAAACCTAAAATAACACGTTTTCGAACAGCCACCTAACAGTGGGCTTTTCCGCATAGGTTTTTGTTGCTGGTTCTGACCCCAAACTGCATCAGCATATCCTAATTCCTGCGTGCATTTTTGTGCCTTTGGTTTTCACATCTTCCCTATTTTTGCATTTCCTCCCGAGGTCCCCCCCCCCCCCGGCTCTTTTGAGACCAAGACCGCTTTGACTCCGGTCTCTTTCTGGCAGCCAGTTTTGATTCGCCTTTTCCCTCGTGCTCAGTGTTTCCGTTGGTTTTTCTTGCCCTGCCCACTCCACCACCAGCTCACTTTTTGATTGGACGGTCATAGTCAGACCTCTCCTTCTCCCCCACCACCCATGACACAAGTGGCTTCAACTTTTTCTAAACGGCTTTAAGATAGAAATATATCGCTGTATCAATATCAATACATGCTATCGCTGTAACAATAGTTGTGGCACGGGCCTCTGAATCCCCAGCTATTTATTTTTTTTAAGTAAGTCTCTTCCCACGATCTCCTCAGGTGTCTCGTAAGCTAAGTAGAGCCGACCCTGGCAAGTACTTGGATTGGAGACCTCCAAGGAATACCAGGGCTGTGACACAGAGTCAGGCAGCGAGCCACGTCTGAACGTCTTTGCCTCCCAGCCCCACTAAAGGTAAAACCAGTCGAATCCGACTCTAGAGTTGCAGTGCTCATCCCCGTTTCCAAGCCGAAGAGCCAGCGCTGTCCGAAGACGTTTCTGTGGTCATGTGGCCGGCATGACTAAACACCGAGGTGCACGGAATACTGTTACCTTCCCACCGAAGTGGTACCTATTTATCTACTTGCAATTTCTTGCTTTCGAACTGCTAGGTTGGCAGGTGCCGGAACTAGAGACGGGAGCTCACTCCGTCATGTGGCACACTCGGGTCTCGAACTGCTGAACTACCGACCTTCCACAGCCTGCTCACACACACCCTTTTACCCATGGAGATATGCCTTTTCCCCCTTATATCTCTCCAAGGGCCGGGACGAGAGATTTCTATTTAAATTAAATGTGGGAATTCAGAGAACCTGTTAAACCTGTTGCTACAACACTCTAGTGATCCATCTATATTTTAGGACCTTTTTTTTTTAAAGGGGGTGTGTGTCGTGACACCAACGCTGACACCCCCAATGATGACAGCAGCCCTTCTTGAAAAATCCTCATTACTGAAGGCGTGGGCGGAAGAAAATAACGGACTCCACGATTGTGAAAATGCAGACGGAGGGTAGACGTGCGAATGGACCGTGACCAAACCCTATTTCATTATTTGTGGATGGACTGCCATGAAAATCAGGCGGAGAAGCCCAGTGGTTGCATACCTCATTTCCCCACCTTTAAAAAAAAAATTATTTGTGGTCAAGGTTGCACGGGGAAGTACAATCTCCTTGTTCCAGTTCTGCTTTTAGAGTTCTTTATTCCACCGGATCCCCACCCCCCCCCCCCAGTACTTGCAGGGCAACCCCCCCCCCAACCTGTAGCTTCAGTTTCTAGTAGCCAGGCCCTTCAGAGTAACAAGTAATCCCCGATGTCGTCAGACACCGCTTTCCTTCTTCATCCTGGGCGAGGACTCTCCCAAGAAGCAGCTTCCGTGCTATCCTAAGGGGAAGGACCATCGCGCAAGTGCCGTGTCCATCACCGCTAATTAAAAATGGATTTCGAGGAACACGGCCCCGGACAGCTTAGGGCCTCTGGGAGCGGCCACTCGTCGGCAGAGACAGCCCTGGGCCGGAAGGAGCTTTGTGTTTGTTCCGTGTACGTGAGCGAGCGACTCGGATGCATCGAGGAGGCTCGCGTGCCGCTTGCCTCCCAGAGCCGTCGGTTCCCCGTGCGGCTTCTCCCCTCCCTCGAGACAAACACGCAGCCGTCTGCCAGCCCCAACCGCAGCGCAAGGTCCACTCGTCCTGTCCCTCGAGACCTGTCTTGTGTCCACCCACGTCCCACGCCGCCCGTTCCTCGCCGGTGCTTTTGTGCTGCCGCCCTGTGCTGGCTCCCATCTCTCTCTCTCTCTCTCTCTCTCTCTCTCTCTCTCTCTCTCTCTCTCTCTCTCTCTCTCTCTCCCTCTCTCTCTCTCTCTCTCTCTCTCTCTCTCTCTCTCTCTCGTGTCACTGCCCGGTTTGTGTTCTCCCTGCCTCCTTGTCGTTGTCCTGCTCTGCTTTGGTGGTGGTGGGGGAATGGTTTGCTTGTGGGTGGAGGGGGTGCCCTCTTGAGGAACCGGGGCTGGATCGGCCAAAAGGATAGCCTGCTCTTGGTGCACTCCCTCCAGTGCATGGGCGAGACTCCCGTGTGCTTTGTTAACTGCATGTTGCCCGCACTCCGCAGAATGCCGCTGCATCTTCCTCTCTCGTCAGCCGTCCTGCACCCGCCTTTCCCGGGTAACCGGGACTCGATGCCGGGGTCACTTTATTTCTGTGGGTGTCAACACAGGTGTCCATTTGCATTGTCGTGTTGCGTTAATGTTCTGTATTACGAATTTTATATTTCAGGATTTTGGGGGGGGGAGGGAGGGAATGAAATCGGACAGAGTCTTATAGTCCAGGGGCACCATTTTGATTTCCAGTGCTGGGGAGATTTAAATTCTTACTCCAATTTTGATTATAGCTAAAAGGGGCATTTAAAGGCAGTTGCTCTGATTCACAATAATGGGTTTACATTATGAGCAGAAAGATACCAGCTGGATATGGGGAGTGGGGAGGCTGGAGGCAAGGCCCAGTGGGCACATGTGCTGTCAATGTCTCTTGCTCACTCGGCTGGAGGCAAGGCCCAGTGGGCATATGTGCTGTCAGTGCGGTTCCAGTAAGAACCCGAGCCACTGCATTCTGGACCAGTTGTAGTCTCTGGGTCAGTCTCAAGGGTAGCCCCCGCATAGAGCAAGTTACAGTAGTCTAGCCTGGAGGTGACCGTTGCGTGGATTACTGTGGCTAGGTCAGGGAGAGACAGGAAGAGGGCCAGTTGTCGGACATGGCGCAGGTGGAGAAACGCCAGTCAAGCAACATTTGTGATCTGGGCCTCCACTGATAAGAAGGCATCCAAGAAGCACACCCAGGCTCTTGGTGTTTGGAACGTGAATACCAACTTAATTCGCTGGGAGGCCAGCCTAGCTTCCTTTAAACTTGCCTATGTACCCTCTGCCATATACACGCAGGCCACAGTGGCCTTGTAAAAGCACAACTTTATATTTCATGACGACCGACCTTGCATGTTTTTAATCACCTGTTTCGCCTGTCGCTCCGCACGGTACCAGTGGAGTAACAGCGGAAGCCTCGAGAATACGTTTTAATAGGACGAGGCCAGCGTTTTGCCAACAGCCTTTCTTTGGTCTGCTGGAATTGGCTCCATCCCAGAGGAACATCTGTCTTTCTAGTGAAGCAGATGCTATTCCCATTAGGCGGAACTTCCTGAGCAGAAGTAGAAAGAGGTACTCCAGACAACGAGGATCCGAAGAGAGGACTGTCTTTAGTAGAGAGGCTTGGATCGTTCTCCGCGTATACCAGCTGTCACGCTCCCAGTCAAATCACTCTCCACATGTGCTTTAGCAGCAGATGTTTTATTACAGATATGAGATGCTGTGGGTTCAGACTCTTTGTTAGGACTGGGGTGCAAAGGTGGGAAAGCTAAATATAGGATCAATCCCCCCAAATTCCATTCACACCTACGTCAGCAATACTACAGTGGCTATGACAGATATACAGCCACTATCTAGCCAGGCACAGACTTAACTTCAAGGACATTTCTTGTTTTATTAGAGATATGAGATGCTGTGGGTTCAGACTCTTTGTTAGGACTGGGGTGCAAAGGTGGGAAAGCTGAATATAGGATCAGTCCCCCCAAATTCCATTCACACCTACGTCAGCAATACTACAATGGCTATGACAGATATACAGCCACTATCTAGCACAGATTGAACTTCAAGGACATTTCTTGTGGGAAGGATGTCTTGAGGCTTCTTCGGAAAGTTACCAAGCGCGCCTCCCTAATTCAGTACAACCACTCACTCCCCCCCCCCCGAATGCAATGGCAGGCGAGGGCAAAGATAAGGGGTACAGAACTAACAATGCAAGAACTAGCCAGATGCCCAAATCTGACACCAGCTCAGTAGTGTATTGGCAAATGAAGTGGGATTGATCACTGCTGTGAAGCTAAACAATACATCCAGAATAACAGCGAGGTCAATCCAAGTGGATCTCTCAGACGGTTCTGCAGGGAATCTACCCAGTTCCACCCTTGACTTTTAGTTTAGTTGTTAATACACCCTCCCCCAACTGATCGGGAATTCTCTCCCAACAGTCATAGCCTTTTACTGGTTCAGTCTAGGCGGCTTTTTCAGGCTGCGGTTTACTATTGTGTTCAGATCGTCATAAAACCTTAACCCTTAGAGTTGTGAAGCAATCTACGGAGAAAGAACTCTTTGTTGGATATGTGTATGCCTGTATTCTTTTCCTTCCTTGAGTAGAGGGTACTTGGATTGAATATGAACAATATTTTCTATTGGAATGCCATAATTTGTTGTATTTTTTAACACTGCAGACTTCCGTCTGATCTTTGACTGTCCAGGCTTCCCTGCAAGCTTTCCTGGAAGTTGTAGTTTGCAGGGGTGTGTGAAAATCCTAGCTTCCTCCCCTGTACGACAGTAGCTTGGAACATTTCCATGGTTGGAAAGATTTCCATCCTCGAAGCATGAATGGTCTTGTCTTTCCCCTCCCACCGCAATCCAGAATGACCCCAAAAAGCCTGTACAGGGGGGAGAGGCGTGGGACACCCCACCCCAGCAGCATTTCAGAGGCTTTGGGAGCTGCAGTCAGAGGACAGAGGCAAGAAAGTTGTGCTGTGCAGACGGAAATCCTTCTCACTGTGGAAACAAGTCTGTAACTGCAGTGGTGGAACTGGAATGACTATTAGCCAGCCCCGTAGCCAGAAATGTTGGGTTGGTGGGGCATGGTTGAATTTTGTGGGGCAGCGGGGGAGGGGGGAGAGGGGCGGCCGTACGCCTTCCCTGAACTTCAAGCGGCAATTTCACTTCCTCCCTTTCTCCAAGATTGAAAAACAGCAATTGGGTTGCCTTTAAATGGTGTTCTTTACATGGGGGCTGCCCGCACCTGAACTCCAAGCGGTGAATTCGCCACTAGGAGTCTAGGGAAGGCACGCTGCTGGCCGCCACCCCTCTCCCTCATCTCCTGCAAGGTTTAAATGGCCCGCTGATCAGCTGGGAGGCAGGGAGAGGGGCAGCCCCGCAATCTAAAGGGCCCTCCAGCCGATCAGCGGGCCACGTGCTCCCGCTGATCAGCTGGGGGGGCCCTTTTAATGTCACAGGAGGGGAGGGAGGAGAGGGGGCAGCAGCTGCTGTGGGGTGTGCCTCACATTTGAGGGGGCGGAGCCCCGAATTGCCCCAGTGTAGCTACAGGCCTGCTATTAGCCCTGGTTTAAGTTCGGTAGTGTAGCGGAGGACTAGAGAGCTGGTGATTTGCCCTGTGGGAATGCTTCAGCCAGCTCTTTTTATACAGCTGAAATGTTCTGCCGTTTGTCCTAGCCAAGGATCCTCCAGAAATCCAACTTCCGGAGGTTGTCGTCACTCTCCCTGAATTTAACATCCTTCTTTTTCTTCCTTCCTTCCTTCCTTTTCTTTTCTTTTTTTTTTTGTCTTCCTCCAGTACACCTCCAGCATGAGAGCCAAATACCTCGCCACCAACCAGCCTCGGCCAGACTCTGACGGTGCGCACTAAAGAACAAACAAACTAGAATACCTTTGAAGTAAAAAATCGGAATAAAACGTGCCAACCGCTGCCATCCCATAGCGCCCTCGCGGAGCAGCCCTGCTTTCTTCCCGACCCGAACCCGACTCTGTGGCTTTTTTCCCCCCTGCTTCGCCGACCCACCCACCTGCCTGGGACCTGTTCATCTTTGGAAGGAACCTAGAGGGTAGCTTGCTGAAGACCAAGGCTGGGTTTAGTTATGTGTATGGGGAAGTGGTGAATAAGCACGTGTGCCTGTGGCAGTCGATCTGAGTCGACCCTCTGTGTACAGAACTAGCTTTGTCACCATTCAGCCCGGAAATACTTTGCAAAAAATGCTGGCCTCCTCCTCCTCCTCCTCCATGGCCCACCTAATCCGTAGAAGAGAAGATCGTCTTCATCAGGCGGCCGGAGAAAAGTTGATCTCTTCGTCTTGCAGAAGTGCCATGGATTATGACGTGCTGATACAAGGAAGCCGTCTTTAATGCGCACATAGTCATAAAGCTCATCTCTTGCCCAGTCCCTTCTTGCAAACCCGGTTGTCCGTTTTTGGGGCCTTTTTTTTTTTTTTTTTGGTGCTACTGTGGAGAAAGAACTGCCCCCTTCTTCACGGCATGATCCGTCTCCTGCTCGGAATTGGGATTGTCGCTTTTTTCTTTCTTTTTTTTAAGAACTGGGATATCTGTCGATTCCTTTTGTGGCTCTCGGATACGTGACCCCTTCCTTCCTTTGTACCTAGCTCTAACTTCGGGGGGGGGGGAGCAGGCAGGTTCCCTGCAACAGCTGCTCTTTGCAACGTTACTCCCTACCCACGCGCGAGCACATGCGCGCTTTCCCACGAGCTGCGCTGGACTAGCGTGTGCCACTTTGACCTTGTATTTTGTAACCACAGTTAGCGGGGTGGGTGTACCCTGTTGGACTGTGCACACTGAACCTGAGCCGTTGATCTAAAACAAAAAATAATTCCAGAAGATTAAAGGGGCATCAGGGTGAACTAGGGGTAGTATTTGGAAGCGAGAGTACAAGGATAGTCCTCTGCCAGGAGTTAGTGTAGTGGGGAACAAACAAGCAAAGACGCTTTCCCTTCCCAGAAGCTCAGGAGACCATCTGCCTTGTCCATGATAACCCCCCGATGGGTAGTGCGGCATGTTCTTGAAGAATTGGCTTTTAGATGTGTGATCTCTGGGAACATCCCCGGGCACAAGATGGAGAAGGAAAGGAAATGCTTAGGTACATATCGGAACAGGCTCCTCCCCCTCTCAAAAGTCTTAATTTTCATATGTGGCCCAATTTCTGTTGCCTCTGAGCGTGCCGAGGCGGAGGGATAGCAGGGATCGAATGACCATTTGGGCGCTCAAATGAGCAAGACCGTCGGATGTTCTCATGCTAGAATGTGCTCCTCTTATCAAGCAAGAACACAGCTCGCGAGGAAACTTCAGGCAAAGGAAGGCCGTTTTCATTCCCCCTTTTTTTAATGTTTGGATTTCCCTTTCAGCAGAACTAAACCCAAAGGAGAAAACGAAAGGGGTAAAATCCCTCAGAACAGCAGACGAGAGAGTTTGTTGTTTTTGCCTGCAGGCTGAGGTGCCCAAAGGACTCCCCTAGACTTAGAATGCTTTATTTTTTAATCCCCGTTGAGCTGTGCTGCTGCTTCGGCTTTCAGCTCCCGTCTCTTCCACATTCCAAGAAAGTCCTCCTTTAGAAATGTGTCTTGCTTTGAGAGGTGGCTCTTTCGAGCCTTTTTGCCGAGAAAACGAAGGGGCGCTAGAGGGTCTTAAGATCCTCAAATGTTGTCCGTGGCATTGCGAGAAGGAAGAATAAAGTCAGCTCATTCCCTGTCTGGCATTCGTGTAACATGACCCTTATTAATCCTAAGAGCCTGCAGATGGGTCAGAAGTGTTGTGCAGACACACAGCAAACTTTTAAGTACATCGGCGTCTAGGCGATGATAGCATCACATCTGGTGCTGTCAGGAAGGGCAGCTAGGGAGTTAAAGGCAGCCACTGTCGTTCCCCCGATCCCTAACGGGAGAAAAATCACTTCCCGTTGGTTTGCTAATCGGACTCGAGAAATGGACCGAGTCCCACTTTGAGGGCCCTGACTCAAGCAGCAGCCCCAGGTTAGGCGTAGAACGTGTGCTCGGTTGGTGGTGGAGGATCGCCTCTGTCCCCAAGTGCACCCGTATGGTGCGCGCATTTCCGAAACCCCTGTTCTTCACATCTGTAGGTAACGTACGCGAGTCCCAAAATGTGTTTCTTCGGAAGATACTGAGGATGCAGCCCTGACTATACGAAGCTCTCTTTGCTAGCATAGCTGTAGTTCTTGGAGGCAAGAATCTTGAGGAAGGCAAGCCCTTCAGGCAGGTGGTCTTGTCCCCACCGTCCCACCCCGTGCCTCACAATTAGCCCCAGGAGCAGAAAATGGAAGGGTGTAGAATGTACCGGGGAGACCACGCTTTCATCAGAGCCAGGGACCTACCCTTACGTTGCAGTAACCACTATAGACATTACCTTCACCATCTCGCTTCACGGCACAGCCACTACTTATGCCACGAGTCCCGACGGGACATTGCTGTTGTATCCCAAGTTGCAGATGGAAGACGTAAATAAATAAATAAATAGATGTGGGTCCTAAAAAGGAGAGTCAGACTCCCCCCCCCCCCCAACACAATGCTACTACAATGCAAGCCATGAGGTCTCGGTATACTGCCTGCATTCCATCTGGGGGGACTTCTAGACTCTGCTTCCGGAGATGGCCATGGCAGACAACGGGCTTTTACCGCCTACGACGCAGGACCCCGGTGTATTTTAACGAACATGGGCGAGACTCAACTTTTTGGAACCTTTTTGTATGACGGGAAAACAACAACACGTGGACTCCTGTGTGATATCAGCAGCTCATGGGGCTCTCCGGGGGCTGGTCTTCTACACGAATCGGCTTCAGAGCGTTGGTGTGCGTGTGTGATCGCTTGCACGGGTGTGACGAGAAGCTCGTACGGCCGCAGCCAGTTAGTGCGACGTGACTTTCCCTGCAGTCTCTTATGCCATCCCGAAGCACCTCGCGGTTGCAGCATGTCAGTGGAATGGGCTTCTCGGGAGTTGTGTTCCCTACCCACCCCGACCTCCTCCCTTTGCTTTCCAGAGCCCGCTTCTGACAAGATCGATCCCAAATCTTTGTCCGGCAGGGGGTTCATCTTCTAGCTGACTTTGGTGCTCATCGGGGCTCTGAACCGTTTTTGGTGTAGCGAGTAAACCCGCAAGAGACTCTCTTCCCCCACGCACCCTTTTCCTAATTTGTACGAGTTTTTAAGCGATAACGATATCTCGACACCATATTGCTTGGAATGTGAACCCTTGGCTGATCTCCTTGGCATCTCTCCCATCATCACTTCGAGACCACCGCCATGCTATCGACTTACGTTTCGGACATTCAGGAGACATCGGAGTCCAACCTTGTCTGAATCCAGATGCGAAAGCCATAGGCTGGGATATAAGTAACTGGAGCGGTCAAGATCTTCTTTGCTTTTCCCTCGAACGTACACAGCACGATCTGGTTGTCCGGTTTATTTGGTTGAGGTTTTCATTCCCACCCCCCACACCCCCCCGGCTGCATCATCACAGCACCTTTAAAAAAAAAATCAGTAAATTTGTGATGTGAATCAAGGATCTTGTCAAGCACACAGACATCTCCACAATGTGAAATGTAAATAGCATGCTGAGACTATTCACGTCCAGTGTTCAAGACTGCATTGTAATTGTTAAAAAAAACAAAAACAAAAGGAAATCGAATCAAGACTTGGCTGTGAATTTTTATTTTTTATTTTTTATCTGTGTGCTGTCTTGGGAATATAACTGTAGTGTTTGTATCCTGTACGTAATATTAGCTGATGCCGTTTTGAGTTCACCTATGGCTGATTTCTTTTGAAGGGGGGAGGGTCTCAAGGTAAAAACCGTGTCACCCCTCCATCTTCCCCACTCTGAGGAGTTAGATTTGCCCCCAATCTATGTGTAAAAACAGTTTCATTTGGAAGGTGCTTCAGTGTGATACCTCACGTGCAGACAGCTCGACAGCAACAAAGTTGCATCGTTTGTAACCATGTGCACAGAAGTGAGTTTTGAAATGCTCTTTGTACATCCACATTCAGAGGGCTAAGGCTTGATAAAAAAATTCCCAGCAATGCTTTGTCTCATGCCCTTAGGAATTGCCACTCAGCTGATAGTTCTGGCGTCTAGAGGTTTTACGCCCGCACAGCTTGTCACTCCCCAAGCCAGATTTTTGTTGTTGTTACCCAAAAATGATGCCATTGGAACACCACCGAACACAACCGTTAGACTGGGCTTGGTGAGTCGCAAGACACGCGTGCCAACCGAAGTTTCGTGCCGAACGTCGTTTCAGCGAACATTCACCTAGTCCCTGCTCTGCTTTGGATGTGCATGTTATCTTGCCCTTTGGTTGCAAGCCTTTGTGCAGGGAAGGAACTCCACACGCCTTGGAGAGTGATCGCTAATGAAATGGCTGACTGAGCCAAGGACTGAGAAGCAGTGACCCGCGTAGGTGGATTTTGATCAGTGACGTTGCAGGAGAGAAAGGTAACGAAAACACAAGAGACTGAGGGGGTTGCCATAATCTGTTCAATGTGATGCTTCCTTGATGCGCAATGCGAGTTCCTTAACAGGGAAGGATGCAACGACTGGGGTTGTTTGATGCTGTGATGACAGCCATTGGGTGATAGTTGAGTTGAACAAAATGTTGGCCACTGGGGGGGGGTCTCATGTGGTTCCTGTTATCATTGACATCTCCCTCATTCCTTTATTTCTGGGGGGAGCACGTGAGTATCTTTCAGTCCCGTCTCGAATTCACTTGCCATCCTCCACAAGGTGGTGGGTACCAAACGCCTTATGAGCTTTTCCTGATTCATACTCCAGCGTTAACTGGGCAGCTAAGATAATCGCCCCCACCTGTACCACAGAGGCACAGTCCTCTAAACCCTAGAATTCTCAAGCTCCAGTTCCATGCGCGGACTTCCTCCCTGGTGTTGGGCGAAGGAGGGTCAGCGGTAAAGGTACCCAGTGACCCAAAATATTTCCATTTCCGTAACCGCCGTTTTATCAGTTTGTCTGGCAACTGATGATGGAGTTCGCTGGCTAGGACTGAGCCATGCCATTAGCTCTCCGCTTATTAAGCTGTAGCTCCCCCATGCGGCGCATGAGGCGGTATGGCGGTCTGCTGTCCTGTGAGCACAGCACAGCCTCTAGGACACACCTAGAGGAGCTCTTTGAGCCCTGGCCTTTGTGTGGACGTCTAACTTGCCGCGAGACATTATTCCAGGGATCAAACGAGGATCTTGGCCGCCGGCTTTTTGGTGCGGTGTCAAAGAAGGTTGGTAGAGACCCCGACAGAGTCTGAGTTCACATCTGTGCCGCTATAGTAGGAAGGTTGGAAGCTTAGATAAGGGAGCCGGGATCCCCCCAGGTGGTTTCTGTCATTTGCAGCTTAAACTTCAACGGTGGGCGGAGGCTGCTTAGCCACCCCTACTCGTTAAATCGTCCTCTCTGTCAATGGGGAAACCGCCCCTCCACGACCTGCGCGAAACGTGCATTGACGTCCTGCGAAGGAAGATTTGCAGGGCTTTCTCGTGGCATGCTTTATTTTTGCTTTTGTCCTTAACTTATTTATTTATAACTCTGAAATGGTGCCCTTCCACCTTGGGAGCATTTGGACCAAACGAAAATACCGGGACCAGTTTTCAAGATGACGGCAATTTTACGCAGCCGCGGGGAGTTGCAGATTCTTATTTCTTCCTTTCAGCGTCAAAGACGGGGAGGAACCAGCACTGTCAGGGGTCGCTCGAGGTGCCTAGCTTATCTACACCACTGTTTTCCCTCTCTATGCAATGTTCATTCTCCCATTTCCCCACCTCCGCACACAAAACACACAATTCCCGTTTTGGAATCTTTTACAGAAGCTTCATATCCAAAGAGCGTTGAGGCCTGCTGGGGTTGGCAAGTGACTTTATCCCCCCCCATCCTGTGAAAACTGGCCGGTTCTCTGCACGTTCAGGCTGTGGCAAAACTCGCAAAAGCAGGTCAATTTTCTATTTTACGGATAGACCGGCATAGGATTCTGAGTAGACCGGCTTCCAGTGGCAGTGCTGGTAACGTGCACAGCCATCCGAAGAAGAGTTACACCCGTTGAAGTTCACCAAAGTCAGTGGGTTTAGGAGGGTGTAACCCTGTTTAGGATTGCACTGGCAAGTTTGTAACGCCCACTGTAAATCCCATATCAGCAAGAGTGCCAGTCTCCTGTGGATTTAATTCTTCTGGATTTTGAAATCCCGCCCCCCACCCCCTTAGGACATTTGTGTGTGTGTGTGTGTGTGTGTGTACAAAACTTACCAGTGAAAATTAACTGGCCTTTGTCCCTTTGTTTCTTATTCTGATCTTCTTTTAAACCACATTGGCTGTATATCATACCACTTTATATATACATATATAATATAAATATATATATAATTTTTTAAAAGTCGTTAGGCAGAACTTGGTCCTTTCAAGTGGTCTGCACTTACCCCCGAAAAATGTTTTTTTGTTTGTTTTGTTTCTCATTCTGGGGATTTAAACCGAGGCGTGCGCCTTTTTTAAAAAAAAGAAAACAACAATCTTTCTTTTACTTTATTTTGTTAATTGTACTGTAACTGATTTTTACTGGATTTTTTTTTTCTGTTCTGCAAATACTAAGCAAAAACATTCTAAATGTAATTTCTGTGGTTTCTAATCAGCTTGGGTTTAATGTTTTAAAATAAAGAACTGAAAAATACAAGGTGGAGTGAGTGATGTGTGTGTGTGTTTTTTTTAATTGAAGCATATCCTGATACAGTCTAAAAGCCACCAACTTATATTGTAGCGAGACTGCATAGCGTTTCACGGGAGTCCTTTGTATGTGCAGCCCTGATTTGAAGAGAAAAAATGTATAACTCACCAAAGAAAAAACACTATTCTGTAAATTTGAAAACATTTTGTTATACTTTCTATATTGCAAATATCTATCTTAAGTAACATCCATTGTATATATTTTTTTCTCTATATTCACACCGAAGGCTGTATGTTTTTTCTGATTTGAAAAGAGCCTGCATCGAAACAACCCAGATTCCGCCGCAAGGAAGACCGGGTGTGGGACAGAACATGAGGTGGGCCCTGTGCCCAGACAAAGTCCCCGATTCAGTCTCGTGTCTTCTCCAGTTAACACATCCTGAGCAGAGCACGGATCGTCTGGCTTCCTGCCCACCGGCCCCCAACAGTTAAACCCAGCTTGTTTTTGAACCAGTTTATCTGTGCACATAATTCCCAGCAATGGTATTTTGGTATAGGTCAGGGGTCCCCACCCTTTTTGAGCCCGCTGGTCCCTTTGGAGTTGTGACACAGGGCGATGGGCCCGATCACAAAATGGCTGCTGCAGAAGTGGAGCCAAACAAAATGGCTGCTGCAGGAAGACCACAAAATGTCAGGAAGGGAGGAGTTCGGTTTAATAGGTAGTGGGCCCTGGGGGGGCAGGAGGCGTTTGTGCCCAGCCAGACGGTGGGGGGCTGCTTGAGGGGTCCTGAGGCTGGGTTTGTGCTTTAATTGGCACAGCCAATGAGAAGCTGTGGTGGGCAAATTCCCCACCTAGCCACTCCCACATTCTAAAATGCTTGGTGGGCTCCAAGAAAGGTTTCTGTGGGCATCATAGTGCCTTTGGCACTACCTCAGGACAGGCCTGTAGTCAGGGTTTCGTGGTTTGCGGGGCAGTTTATTTTTCTTCTGCTGAGACTGAAGTTCTCAGTGCAGAAAGAGAAGCCATGTAGCCAATAGAAAACTGTTACCAGGGTCGATCTATAAACTGCAACCGCTTGAGATGACAGTTCTCAGCCGCTGCAAGTTAATCACTCCTGCCAGCCTAAGCAACAGTTCTGAGAACAAGCCGGCAGGTGGGGGTGGTGACTTCTGTAGTCAAGAAAGCGAACACTGAGGCTGAAAATCTCTCTTCAAGGAGGCTAGTTTCTTGGCACAGTTAGAAGGGATCCTAGAGGTCACCTACTCCAACCCCCTTGCTCAGTGCGGGAATTAGTCAACCCACTCTGCTTAAAGGAGGGTATGCCTTTTAAAAAATGTTTGAAAATGATGGGGGGAAAGCATTTACAGGAGAAATTCTTGTGGGGCTGTGCCTTTAAGGAAGGGGGCAGATCCCCCCCCCAAAGCCCCACCGTAGCTACAGGCCTGCGTTAGGAACCCCTGGAACACCTGTTCCAGTGGTTCTCTCAAGAGCAGTCCTCGAGAGAGCTCTCTCGGCCCCACCTACGTCACAGGGTGTCTATTGTGGAGAAGGAGATGGTAAGCCGCTCTGAGACTCCTTTGGGTAGTGAAGGGCGGGGTATAAATCCAATCTCGCCTCTTCTTAAAGGTGCCACTGGACTCAGACTTTATGTTTGTTCCATGTACTGACTTCTGTCGACCCCTAGTGGGGGTTTCAAGGCAAGAGACGTTCAGAGTTGGTTTGCCAGGGCCCCGATCCTGGTACTCCCTGGTGGTCACCTCCACATCCTGGCCAGGTCTGTCTGACCCTACAGGATCAGGTTAGCCTACTGTCTGAGGTCATTCACGCATGGGGCTCCCGCAAGTCGGTACAGCAGTTAACACAAACACGCAGAGTAGCCCTAGAATCTATGAACTGTATTTATTTATTTTTCGAGTTTCTACTTCGCCCTCCCAGCCAGAGGCGGCTTACATAAAAGCAGATAAGTTCCATTAAAACATAAGTTACCATTAAAACAATTCTAAAACCATCATAAAGTGCTAGTAGTCATTGTATGGAGCTGCGGTGGCTCAAGTGGTTATGACGCTGAACTGCAGGCTGTGGAAGGTCAGTAGTTCAGCAGTTCGAGACCCGAGTGTGCCGCATGACGGAGTGAGCTCCCATCTCTGGTTCCAGCTCCTGCCAACCTAGCAGTTCGAAAGCAAGACATTGCAAGTAGATAAATAGGTACCGCTTCGGTGGGAAGGTCACAGCGTTCCGTGCGCCTCGGTGTTGAGTCATGCCAGCCACATGACCACGGAGACGTCTTCGGACAGCGCTGGCTCTTCGGCTTTGCAACGGAGATGAGCACCGCAACCCTAGAGTCGGATTCGGCTGACTTTCGAGCAAAGGAAACTTTACCTTTTACCTAGTCGTCATTGTTCGTATGACGGTAGCAGGTAACCTCACACCTGCCCGAGAACCCTTAACCCCCACCTGGGGGGCAGAGTTTTTAAACCCCCATCCCCAACTTCCCCAGCATTCAAGTCTGTGACAGACACTTCTGTGAACCGTTTGGCAGAGCTGCCTCTTACAAGTCTTCTAGGGTGACAATCTTCCAAACTGGATCACTGCAGCAACCGTTCTAGAAGACCGTTCCAAAGAACCCATCCTGCCCCAGGAAAAGGCTCCAACCTGACTATTGGTGAGCAGTCGGTCTAGGGAGAGGGCACTGTGAGAAGAAGGCAGTCTGAAGAGCACTGCTGGCGCATGGGAGATGTGATTCATAATTCAGGGGTCCCCAATCTTCTGGAGCCTGCGGCCACCTTTGGAATTCTACTATGGGGTGGTGGGCAATGTTCCCTCTAAGCTGTGGAGTCTTGTGAGTAAAACTTCTACTTTGTGAGCTACTGGCGTTAAAAGTTGCGAGCGAGCGATTTGGCTACTGCAGAAATCAGTTTGCTCTGGAGCCCCATCTTTCCTGAGCTGAGACAAAAATGTGTGAGCCGGAGGCTAAAAAGCTGCGAGCTGGCTCACACGAACTCAGCTTAGAGGGAACACTGGTGGTGGGCACAACCACAAAATGGCTGCTGCAGAAGGTGTAGGGGATGGAGCCAGCCACAAAAAAGTCAAGGAATGAGGATACATATATGTCACTCTAATAGTAACAGTTCAACGTTTTGGGCAGAAACGCTGTTTAACAAGGTGCCTTTTAATCTCCGCAGGTTCCCAAAGTGGGCCATGCCACCCCCCAAGGGTGCTGGAATAATCCAGGTGGGCGGTTGGAGCCTTGGGTGCAATTGGGGGAGGGTGTTGAATACAAATAAGGGAGCGGTGGAAGCATTGATTAGGAGCACTGCTGAGTAAAAACCCCACCTAGCCGCACCCACTTTCTGAAAGCAGTTGGTGAGTGGCATGGCGCCCGTGGGCACCCCGTTGGTGACCTGACAGAGGAAAGATTGTCAAGGGCTTCGGAAGTGACAAGCAGCACTTGTAATTGGGCCTGGAAGCCAGTAGATGGAGCGCCAGCTTCACATTGCAAGCAGCATTTTGTATAATTGATGTTTCCAAGTCACAGGTATTTCCGTGATGAGATTTTACATTTTTAAAGCAAGCGTGGACTTCACCCCACCCCACACCCCATTCTGCCGTCCCATCAGCCCTTCTGCTGCCCAGATCTGTCTGCAGATAACACTCTGGTAAAGGATGAGATGGTCAGACAGTGTTATCGAGGCAACGGACATGAAATGAAGCAAACTCCGGATCCTGACGGAAGACCGGAGGGCCTGGTGTGATGTGGTCCGTGGAGTCGTGAAGCGTCGGACTCGACTGTGCGACTGAACAGCAACAAATCCGTAATCGGGTCATTTCCTGCAGAAGTGCCCAGGAGCGGAACTCCGGCAGTAAAGAGCCCAGGGGGCGGGCACATGCAACAAGCCCCACCCCCTGCTCCCAGCAGCTCTCAGTCAGAGCAAGAAGCAGCCAGGTAAGCTGCAGAGCTCCCCCTGATCCAAAACAGTCCAGTGGCACCTTTAAGACCAAGTTTTATTCAGGTACAAGCTCTCCCTCCTCTGTGAGGACAGATCTATACGTCCCCCCCCCCCCAATAGCTAGCAATCCAAAACAGTCCAGTGGAGCCTGAGCGGTGGGTGTTGCTTTCTGACACACTTCCGGTGATGTGAGGGGGTGTGGCATATGCAAATGAGTTATGCTAATGAGCTCCTGCACCTCTGTTTCTACGACATGACCCCTGACTGTAATAAATAAACCATCTCTGGAAATTGCAGAGAGAGGGCAGTGTTCCACCAAATCCCGAAGTATCGTTGCCACCCCTTTTCTCCCAGTTTAATTAAACATTTTGGCAAACTCCCAAATTTAGCCCACTGTTTTGCATTGTCTGCTTCTTTTGGAAATGTGGGGGGGGGGACTTCCAGGTATTGTACTTCAGCTGCTCCACCAGGTGGCAGCACCAGCCCATATTCTGGGTCTACTCTGAGTCGCTTCTGGTAAAACAAGATCCTTTCCGAGGGTAACCCTGTGGGTCTGTAGCACAAGTGGGGTAGCCGTGTTGGTGCCCACAGACATCACATTGGGGGCTCTTGCATAGCCCATGATACCCCCTTAGGACGCAGCCTGGTTCTGGGGCTGCATCCAGCCTTGTTGGTCATGGTCTACTTGGGTTTTTTTGCCACATGGAAGGCTACATTAGTTTGCAATGGAGCCATCCTTCCTGAGCTAAGAGAAAAATGTGTGAGCCGGAAGCTTAAAAACTGTGAGCTAACTCGCACTAACTCAGCTTAGAGGGAACACTGGTGGTGAGCTCCCCCTCCCTGGCAGTCTTTAAGCAGCGGAAAC